GTGTTTCTAGAGCTGGGATAGCCAAAACAGCTACAGGAGCTGAAATGCATCTATAAAGAGAGGTTTCCCACTTCACCTAGAATCCATTGCTTCAGTAGTACTCTCACCGCACTGACCTTCTTTTGGAGGAAACTCACCAGTTGCGTTTTTACATATTTTGTGGGGGTACTGTGTATTCTTTGTTGTTGCCATTCAGAATCCACATGCTGACCATACTCATTTTGGCAGAGAACCTGGTTTTGAGATAAGGTTTGAAATGTTTGCCCCCAGGACTGTTGCTCATGCCTGGGAAATATTTGCACTGATAACTGTGAGGAATTTTGTGTCTGGAGAGATCACTCAGCCTGTGGGACTGGGGGGCACAGGGGAGAGAAGGGGAGGGAGGGGAGAAGAGGGATTTGATTGAAAACACTCAATTCTCCTCTGGCAAAATCAGGAATCCAAAGACATGCAGACTTTTCTTGGGAAAGCTAGGACAAAGAAAATGAAATCAGATGTTTTGTTTAGGAAAGACAGGATGCTGTTGCTTTCTTTATAATAAAAGTATATTATTTAAACTATAAAATTGCTCATACCTTGGTTCCTAGTTCTTCTTCAATAAACTTTTAAAATAAAAGCTCTCGAACATTAGCTTATTTATCATTTAGAGTCTTTATATTAAGCAGATTTTTTTTTCTGGGTTATAACCTCATATCTTGAAGCTCTTTTATTAATTCAGTTTGTACTTTATTTTTCCTCCTTTTCTGGGTTCTTTAGAAATTTTTTTGAGATATCTAGTTTTCTTTTTTTTATGAAAGTATAGTTGATTTACAATGTTGTATTAATTCCTGGTGTATAGCAAAGTGATTGAGTTACACCTATATACACATTCTTTTTTAAAATTTTCTTTTCCACTGTGGTTTATCATAGGCTATTGAATATAGTCCTCTGTGCTATACAGTAGGACTTTGTTGTTTATCCATTCTATATATAAAAGTTTACATCTGCTAACCCCAACCTCACACTCCAGCCCTCCCCCAAATTCCTCCCCTTTGGCAACCACCAGTGTGTTCTTTATCCATGATTCTGTTTCATAGATAGATTCATTTCTGTCATATTTTATATTCCACATATAAGTGATATCACATGGTATTTGTCTTAGAATTTTTTTTTAGGTCTTTAAAATGGTAGTTTCCCAAAGTAATGAAAAAAGTGCGTAATATGTGCTATATATTGCTTCAAAATACTTTATTCTTATAAATCAGTTTAATTCTCAAGACTGTCGATAAGGTAGGCGACCCTGTTTCCTCTGCGGGGAAACGGAGAAGCCGAGCGGTAAGGACCTTGTACAAGGTCTCATTACTAGTGTTTGGCAGTGCTGGGATTCAGGCTGAGCAGTCTGGCCTCAGAATCACTGCACTGCGTTGAGGGTTCTCACAAACTTCAGAGTCAGCAGATCTGTTGAAGGTGAGGGCAGCAGCAATGATGACATTGGAGTAATGAAATATTATTTATCAAATGCCCAATCATATGTTTACATAGGTATCCTATACCACGATTCTTTGGGTAGGTGATATTATGCCCACTTCACAGATCAGTAAACTGAGGCTTAATGAGGAAAAGAGATTTGTACCAGGTCTTACAACTCTCATGAGACAGAATCACAGTTGCAATCTGTATCTGACTGCCTCTTACCCTTCTCTTAACCACCATGCTACATTGCCTCCAATTCAGTTGTTAGTTGTCATCTTGTAATGTTGCTATGTTGTCCTAACAAATACAAGATAATCAAAACTCCTCATGAAGTGACCAGTCTGTTCGGCTTCTATGGGATGTGGCAAGGTAGGGAGCAGGGAAAGTCGTTGGAAGAGAGAACCACATGAGCCCTCCTCCTTCCCTTCACTTCCAAACCCCTAAGGGAAGAAAACAGTCCTCCCTACAGACATCTCTCTCAAATCCACTACTATGAGATTCTACTGGTTCATTTTGCTGTAAGCACCATCCTCCGAGTTCTTTAACTGCAGTATCTTGATGTGCATGACCCTTAGGGAGAACTGATGCTGACATTGGTCAGCAGACTGGCAGTTGAACAGACTGTTTGTTCATATCCCTCAATGAGCGTTTCCTTCTCTAGTTAATATGTGTGAATTAGAATATTTCCTTTTCTATCCATTCTGCCTCCAAAGATTCCATGAACAGAGTTCCCACATGGCTTAAACATACACATAATTTTGCACGTGAGCACCCCCTGGGATCCGGAGCATTTTGTGTCTGTCTGTCTCCAATTCCCTCTCTTCCCCTCCCCTATGGGTTTTCTCCCCCCATTAGGCAAATGGAAGGCTCATGCCACCTGTTAGCATTACATCATTGGCTCCCCAGAACACAGTTGCACCAAAGGCCTTAAACAAAGTAGTTCTTCTTGTATTGTTTGCACTCAAAGAGCTGATATCATGCCAACTGATGTCATTGTATGTCTTTGTGTAACTGCTATGGCAACTGGGCAGGTGGGGAGTCTCCAGCTGATGTCATTGGGGAAGGAGGTGTAGAGACAGAATTTTAAAAAGCTCTATGCTGCTTTTTTTCTGTGTGTGTGGTTTTCTGGCGTGCAGTTGTTTTTTTTTTTTTTTTTCAAACTAGCTGCTTTTAAGACAAATTACAGCTTGAGTACCCGAAATAAGAACACAGAGAAGCCTCCCCCCTTCCTCCACCTACCCCCTAAAGGCCTCTTTTGAGTTTGTTTTGTTGTTCTGTCCTCTCATCTTATATGGAAAAGTGTAACAACTGTCTTTTTCTTAAGGAGAAAAAAAAAGTGAACTAGGTTCCCATCACAGAACTGGTGTGGAACTGTTTGCTAGGATTTTATGGAGCCAGAGCTGAGCAGACTTCTAAATAACTCTTCAGTCTCTTTCATGGAGCTTGTGTTGGTGATGGTGGGTAATTTCAAATTCTTGTTTAGGTATGTTCACTAATGAAGTTTTTTCTGGTAATCTCCATTTCTTTCATCTGCTTGAAAAATGATCCCTTTGGATCCAGACAAACTTTTTACTTTAATCATTATTTCATAGCAGAATAAACTAATAAGATGTAAAGGCAGAATTTAATTCTAGAAATTAATTAAAATGAATCTGTAGCTCTTGTTTTTCTTTTCAAATATGTTTAGACACAGATGGTCATGATACTACTCCTTTCAAATCATCTTTGAGTCATGGCTGCATCTTAATGAAAATAATGATTTCCCGGGTTTTTACAACTTGTGTGCAATGGCTGTGAACAGCACTAAGTCTTGGTCTGGGTTACAGCCTGGAGCTTCCTGGTGCGGTTGGCAGAGATGAGACTTGAAATGGAGCAGGACATAGATTCAGAAACTGGTGAACAGTTTGACTTCCTGTATTTATTTTAACACAACCATATCCTGTTCACACTTCTGTTCCCTCTCTTATCTCCTCAAACTATCAAGAGAGAAGTAAGGCATCTGTCTAGAGGACAGGGGGAGTGGTAAATGTTGTGTTCTGATGACTTTCAGCTTCTAGGAGATCTCCAGCTTCTGCCTGTGTTCAAAGGGAAGGCCAGAGTGTATCTGATTGATAAGAATTAGAGCTCGCTGAGTAGATAATACTGTCAACTCTGATTTCATAGCCCTTACATGCACATTGTGTACCTTGACCTTCATAATAATCCTTTGGGCTTACCCACAAACACATCTACCAAATATTAAAGAAAAAGTTTAAACAACAGACTATAATCCATACATTTCCTAGTTTAAACGAGTGCTCTTTTTTGCATGGTTCTTTAGCTTTTGATCATGTGGATGGTGAACATTTTTGAATCAACTTTTTTCATTTAATATTAAATAGAAACATGGTCTTTATTTTCATATGCCTTTCACAACTTTGAATGGCTACATAATATTGCACCTGGGTGACTGACAACTTTTCTCTTTTCAAAAATGTTTTTGTTTTTTACTTGGCTTTTCTAGAAAACAGATACTACTGTAGTGAACATCTTTATGCATCCAGCTGGATATCTTTGGGCAGAAGGTTTCCTTAAGATATATATTCCCATAAATGATACTGCATTTGATGAGGGGGAGGTCTGCATACTTTGTATGGATCTCTGTATGCTGCTGCTGCTGCTAAGTCGCTTCAGTCGTGTCCAACCCTGTGCGACCCCATAGACGGCAGCCCACCAGGCTCCCCCGTCCCTGGGATTCTCCAGGCAAGAACACTGGAGTGGGTTGCCATTTCCTTCTCCAATGCATGAAAGTGAAAGTGAAGTCTCTCAGTCGTGTCCGACTCTTAGGGACCTAATGGACTGCAGCCTACCAGGCTCCTCTGTCCATGGGATTTTCCAGGCAAGAGTACTGGAGTGGGGTGCCATTGCCTTCTCCGGATCCCTGTATACCAGATTCCTAATCACACTAAGAGGTATATGTCATTACCCTCATTTTACAGATGGGGAATTTGAGGCCAAGAGAGAGAAATTAACTTATCCAGATCACAGACCCAGGAAGTGGTGGAACTGGGTTTATAACCAAGATAATCTGGGTTCTTCTAAGGTCCTTGCTTGTAACCACTCTCTTGTTTGGGAGCAAGCTTGGCCTTCTGGGTGAGGTGAGCTTACAAAGGGTGCAAGTCACACACCTCCACTGCCCAGTTAGTTACTGGCAGAAATTTTACACCCGAGGAAGTCATCTGTGCCTTCCTGGGCTCCTAAAGTGCAAGGCTGTATATAGGCCACTGAGCATATGACTCTTAGGGGCAGATCAGATGTGCGGCTAATGAAATTGCCTGATGCTTCGTGGAACTCTTTCCAGGGGAACATGCCCCAGTTTGGATAAAAGGCCTAAACCCAAACTACTGCATGCAGCCTCCGAAATTTGCCCTGGGTCTCCCAACGGACTTTCATTTGTGTTTTGATTTTCTTTCTAAAAAAATACAATAAGCAACTACACACATTCATTCTTCCGCCAGCTCTGAAGTTCGAGGGGGGAGTCATTCTCACTTCCTGTGTTTGTGTTCCAGGTGGACTTAGCAGTTTTAAGCAGAACCATGAAAACCTCTGTGACAACTCCCTCCAGCTCCAAGAGTGCCGGGAGGTGGGGGGCGGCGCGTCTGCGGCCTCGAGCATGCTACCTCAGTCCATCCCCAGCACCCCCGACATCGAGAACGCGGAGCTGACGCCCATCTTGCCCTTCCTATTCCTTGGCAACGAGCAGGACGCCCAGGACCTGGACACGATGCAGCGGCTGAACATCGGCTACGTCATCAACGTCACCACCCACCTGCCCCTCTATCACTACGAGAAAGGCCTGTTCAAATACAAGCGGCTGCCGGCCACCGACAGCAACAAGCAGAACCTGCGGCAGTACTTTGAAGAGGCTTTTGAGTTCATCGGTAACTATCTCCCACAGGGAACTCTCACCTTCCACCTTCCTTTTCCCGCCAGCTTTTTACTTTGATAGCAGGTCCAAGGCAGAAGCCTGAGCTGCAGAAAAGCTACGCGGAAGTGTTTTTGGGCTCCACCACCTGGGGCAGAGTATTCTCCTACGTCATAACCCAGCAAGTGTTTTGGAGCCATGGTTATCAAAGTACAGTCAGTCATTCAACTGGGTTGGGAATCCATTCAGTGAGACCTCCTCATCTCTCCAGTTCTTAGTGAAAAAGTGGCAGGGGTTAGCATCCAGATGTTCTATGACATCATCTCAAAAGAATTGGTAGAAAGGAGTTGGTGGTCAAAGCAGGTGCAGGGGTATATGGTCTACTGAGATTCCTTGGCTTCTTGTAGGGAGTAGAATATAGCCTGCCCTCTGGTGAGCTTCCCTGTGTCTCAGACAGTAAAGGATCCATCTGCAATGCCGGAGACTTGGGTTGGGAAGATCCCCTGGAGGAGGGCATGGCAACCTACTCCAGTCTTGCCTGGAGAATCCCCATGAGCAGAGGAGCCTGGCGGGCTACAATCCATGGAGTCTTAGAGATGTACACGACTGGGCGACTAAGCACAGCACAGCACTGTATCCATAGGTTCCACCTCTGCAGATTCAGCCAACTACTGATGGAATTTCTGGATATGGAGGGCTGACTGTACTGTGCCATTTTATATAAAGGGACTTGAACATCCATGGATTTTATCCATGGGAGTAGAGGGATCCAGGAACCAATGCCCTGCAGGTACTGAGTGCTGGCTGTATTGTAAATATGACACGGGCTTCTAAGCTCATCCGTGTCTCCCTTACCTTGAGTCAATTGCCACTGCTTGAGATCAAGGTAGCATTTGCTGAAGGAGCGTTTCTGAAGGATATTTTTCAGAAACATAGTGCTATAGTGAACATCTTTATGTATCACATCAGTGCAAAGGCGGCGGGGGGAGTGGGGAGTAGTATTCCCCTTCAGTTTGCTTTGTCTCTCCATTCTTAAAGGTTGTGTAGCCAAAGGGTGTGAAGTTGAATGCTCATGAGATGATGCTAGATTTCCTTAGTTCACCCAGGCTCATTGAAGTAGAAAAGATCAAATAGTATAGCCCATGTAGTTCCCAAGGAGAGAAAATTCTAGTAGCAGCAGGCTTTAATCTCCAGAAGGAAGCAATGACCAGCCTAACCCTAATCCTCAACTTTAACTTTTGCTGCTTCTAAGCCTCAAACTGTTGCAAGGCTTAAATGATCATTTGGAGAGGACCTGGTACTCAACAATTTTTTTTTTCTCAAGTGACTCCAGTCTTTCTTATACAAAAGAGTGACCCAGTCCTTTTCCTAAATATTGTAGCAGGTTGTTACTAGCCTCTGTCTCAGGAAGAATGCACTCATGTTCAGTGCTCCTTTGTCAGAAAAAAAAAAACAAAACAAAAAACAAACTTGGATTTATCAGCCACTGAAGTAGGTAGATTTGCTGTAGAGTTGGCAGCTCTGGTCACTTGGCCCAGGCATTTTCTTGCTAATCTTGCCTGGTTTTGCAGGGCCATGAAATGTTCAATCTGGAAGGAAATTCTGAGTGGTCACTAAACTCAGAAAAGTAAAGTGACTTCTCCTAGATTGTAGGAACTTTAGTGTTAGAGAAGGGACCAGAGCCTAATGCTCGGGGCTCCAAGGCCAGACACTGGGGCTAGACGCTCAGGCGGTGTTTACAAGGCTCTATTATTGGGTTGGCCAAAAAATTTGTTTGGATTTTTCTGTAAGTCAAATGTTATAATAGTTCTAATGCATAATGCTTGTGGATGCACAGATACCTTAAATTCTTTATTAATGATATCTGAATCAAACTTTGAGTCCCAAGGGAGAAAAGTTTGCATCCAAGTAGATGAGGAACTTCCTGGTTGACATATGATGTCATGACTGCAGTTTTTTGTCTTAGTTCCAGTTGAGGGAAGTTAGGAAATTGTTTTCTATTTAATGAGTAGCATCAGATGTGCTTAGGGTCTAAGAGGATTTCGATCAAAGCACCCACATTCCTTATAAATTATTCAGGCTCACCTGGTTTTTAGAAAGAAAACAAAACAAACAAACAAAAAAAATAGCATTAAAACCTGGAAACAGTTCCACATCACACCCTGAACAGGCACAATTTTTAAATTTTCATTGTTATATCATTGGGTAAACTGAAATCTTACAGTCTTGCTTTAAGAAAAACACACCCCATTTTAGAAACATAATAGCATTCACAGAGAGGCTGATGTAAACTAAGCAGAGTCTAGGTTTAGGATTTAACTATGACAGTTGTTTATCGCTATGTTGGCTGATATTATTCCTGTATTTCCCTGTGCCTGGTTAGTATTACTCCCATTATTCAGATAGGAGGATTGAGCCTCTGAGGAGTTATAGGATTCATGCGAGTTCCTCTGCAGGGTGGACCCATGGCCAGACCTAGCCCTCTGTGGCTCGTCTTCTTTACCTCCATACTTCCCACTCTTGGGGTGGAGGCCGTTAAATAGTGTGTGCTAAAAAGAAGAAATTGAAAACCAGAGATGCTTTTTGTAAAATGCTGTTATCTATGAGAAGTAAGTCAAATCTCTGAATTTTTAAGATGAAAATTTGCACGGTTTGTTTTGTTGATCTATGAGTGAGCAACCAGTAGAAGTAGTTTATGTTAAAATGTGGCTTTCCCAGTTTTCTAATTGGTATATTTTTCAGGGATACTCTCTTTGGGATGACTTTTAGTGGTTTGGCCAAAAGGTTCATTCAGGTCTTCATACTCTCTGAGAACCCAAACGAACATTTTGGCCAATGGCCATTAGTTTAGAAGTGTCACTAAGAATTCATTCAGACAGTGCCCACAAGCTGTTCTCCTGGGTTTTTAATATATCTGAAAACCTGTAAAGTATTATCTTTTTCGATTGCCCTGGATTCTGAGCCATCACTGGAATTCCTCCATCTTCCATGTCATTACCATGTTAGAACAACATGCACGGATGTGAGGGGATTGGACAGTTCAGATGGAGGTCTCACCCTGTGCCTGAGTACTGCAAGTCTTTAGTTTTGCAACAGTAGGGCTTTTTGGTGAGATGCTGGACACAGTAACTTTCTAGCTTTGTTCCTTTAATCTCCTTCAGCGTTTCCTAAGACTGAAACTTTTATCTGTTTAATACTAGTTTCTGTACAGAGCAGTTCTACAATATAAAAAAAGAAGTGCTTTTTCTCTATCACAGGTAGGAGAGATGTTGTTAATAACACTAGTTTCGATAAGTGACACAGTGTGATGATGGGAATTAGCATCCTTAATCAGAAGGGTCTACTTAACCAGTGACTTGTTTAACATTTAGGCTGATTATGTCATGGCTCTTTCCTCAGTTGACCACCATCACCTGTGAAGTCCACTATTATGGTGAATGACTCTTTCACCTAGTCTTCTGTCTAAATGTAGAAATGTAGCTTCTTATTCAAGCTAATGTTGCTTTTAGCCAGTTCTGGAGGTTGTGACATAAATAGATACAAATAGGAAATTATACTTAGTTTCCAAACCATTTTAATGTCGTCTTTCTCTACAAGATATGGCGTCATCAAGTCTAGATAAACGCTAACCTCTCTCCCTCCATCTCTCTTTCCCTTCCCCGGCACCTCTTGCTTTTCTCCCTCGTTCCAGAGGAAGCTCACCAGTGTGGGAAGGGGCTGCTCATCCACTGTCAGGCGGGGGTGTCCCGCTCTGCCACCATCGTCATTGCTTACTTGATGAAGCACACGCGGATGACCATGACTGATGCTTATAAATTTGTCAAAGGCAAACGACCAATTATTTCCCCAAACCTTAACTTCATGGGGCAGTTGCTGGAGTTTGAGGAAGACCTGAACAATGGTGTGACACCGCGAATCCTTACACCAAAGCTGATGGGTGTGGAGACAGTTGTGTGACCATAGTCTGGCTGGAAAGGATGACTGTTCTCCATTAGGAGATGAAGAGGAAGGAGTATCGATTCTTTCTTTTCTTTTTTTCTTTTTCTTTTTTTTTTTTAGATGGGGGTAAAGTTTGTGAATGGAAGCAAACTTGTTTAAAAACTTTATTTTTAACCAGTGTGAGAAGAATTTAACTTTTGATGCCGTTGAGATTTACTTCCCACCAACTGACAAAGCAGGGAGTCTAAAGAAGTAATTTTTTTAAGCCAACAATAAAAATATCATAAAACCTGTTTCTTCCCCTTTTCCTTTTAAGCTATTTGTAGAGTTTATGATTAACTAGTCTGTGCAGGTTCATAGACCGAAGATGCTACACTTTAAACCAATTAAAAAGAACCCAAAGTAAGTAGAAAAGACATTGAATCATGAAGACCTAGGATCTGCCTGACCTGTCCTTACAGAAAACAAAAACCCAACCAAACCAAGCCCTGATGTGCTCACTGGTGCAAAGAGAAGACCAGGGCAGCTTAAGTGGTCTAAGAACCCTTCACATTCTTTAAAGAGACAAAGGATACTGTTGATTTTGTGTGTTTCATACTCTGGATTACTTTTCTTCCCTCTCTGTGTTTAAGAGATTTTTTTTTCAAATAGCAAGGAACTGACCATTATACCATATGCCTTCACTGGCTTCTCGTGCAATAATATGGTGTTTTGAGTGTGCAAATGAGTTAGAGTTGGCAGCTTAAAAATAGACAAATAGTGAAAAGTTGCCAGCTTGGAGATAGAAAGGAATTAAACAAAACCAGTTACTTTCTTTCCCACCTTTTTCCTTTTTTTTTTTTTTCTTTGATTTGATTCTGGTTACAGTGCCATAAACCTTGTTACATATGTATATCAGAATGTAAAAAAAAAAAGACAAAAATTTATTTAAAAATATTTTTCGCAAAAAAACTTGGTGTGTTTCTGTTGATTGTGTAAAAATTTTATTTTCATTATATAAATGAAAATCATTTGGAAATGTGTCTTTTTCCTCTTCTTTTCCTCAGTTCAAGTATCTCTTACCTCTTGTAAGGTGTCCATGTAATGTAACTGAAAGTAAACACAAATTTTTGATACAGGGATAGAGAGATGAGGGAGAGGAAATTCTCTGACCTCAGTGAGAAGCAGAGAGAGTTAGCAAGGAAGTGAAAAAGCTCTAGTCTGCCAGGTCATGGTCCCCTCTCTGGTCACAGTCCTGCCATCCACTTCTGCCAATGTCATTCCTCTTACAAAGGGGAAACCTCAGGTAATCTCCTTGAAAAAGGTGTGAGGTTTTACACCTCACCTTGGTGTGGTGCCTTGGTGACCAGGTCACTGCCAGATTGATTGGTTAGAATTCTCTGATCTCCCCAGTCACGCTTTGATCAATATCTGTGACCCCTACAATATCAATATTGTAGGGGATATTATAAGGGTCTTGATATCCTCCTTCCATTGTCATTTGCCCACTTGGCATCTTTGGTAACATTAATCATGAAGCATTGCAGGCAGATTCTTTACCATCTGAGCCACCAGATAAGACCTGGTACATACTGCAGCACACTGCTGTCTCCTACTTTTCTGCCAGCAAACTGAATTCAACTTCATAAGTACAGCTTCCCCAACACACTTGGTTAATACATAGCTGGTATTCCATGGGTTCCCAGTCCACAGAGGAGTAGGGAGGGGGTAGGGGAAGAACACAAATCAAATATTTTCTATGTTTTATTAAAAATAGAAGCATCCAGGGAATTGGCCATAGGGAGGATTCACAGCAAATTAAAATTTGCCCAAGGTGAGTAAAAGAGTAGAATGATTTTGAAATTTCCAATTCTATATGAGTACATTTGGACATAATATCCTTGTGAACATTTTCTGACCAGTATTATAATGAAATATTTTTGACATTTTAAAAATAGCTTTTCTATTAGAAGTGATTTAACTTTTTGTTTGATTAGAAAAGTAGAGACTGAATTTAACAAGAATTAACTGAAGGTTGTCTTGACTTAGTTTGGTTTATTATAAAGCATTAAGAAGGTGAAAAGCAAATTTCTCTTATGGTGCTTTCTACTCTTCAGTCTAACAATTTTCTTGGTGCTAGAACATATTTAAGGAGTGGGATTAATGTGTAATTAGGGATTTAAAATATAAAATGATATACTATATGTTTATTTTTCTTTATTCTAAGTCCAAATATTAAAGTTCTGATAGTGTGAGTTTTATTCCCTTTTTTTTTCTTTTTAACAAAATAAGAATCGCTATAGTTTCTTGAGCTATTATGGAAATAACTTATGATTTTTGAACTTTACAACTTTATGGTTTTGAGAGCAAGGTTGTCCTGGGGCAGATAGGAATTCTGCTAATGAGCATACCAAGAATTCTGAGAAACTCATCTTTTTTCTACTAATCTGTTTTGAATCACTTAGCCTCTGTTTCTTCATGAGGAATGTTAACCACTTAGTGAAATTTACATGGCTTAACCAAGCCATTGCACTAGAAACCAGATTCCCTTTGTTACTGAGTCAAACTTTGGTTTGCTCACCCTCAAGTAGTAAAGGCAATCTGTTGACACCAGGTTGTGGTGAAGGAAAGTGCAGTGTTTATTGCAAGGGGTCAAGCAAGGAGTCAGGGCAGCTGGTACTTAAAGCATCCAAACTCCTAGATGGGTTTCAGCAAAGCATTTTTAGGACAAGGTAAGGAACTGGAGCCCCGAGGTATGTGATCAGCTTGTGCAGTTCTCTGATCGGCTGATGGTGAGGTAACAGTGCAGCGTTACAGAGCTTAACACTATCATTGCTTAGGTGCCAGTAGGTCTGGGGGCTGTGTGCTCATGACCATCAAGTAGTTAATTTCTTCTCTTTGATGGTGGTTTTAGCATCTGTGAAACAACTCAGGAAATGTGCATCAATACTGTCATCTAGGCACTTCAAAAAGGATCTAAGCCAAGGATATGAGGGAGGAGTTTGCCCTGAGAAGGTCCCATAGGGTTCTTCTCTTTTACAGGTTCTGAGCCTCACTTGTCTCAGAGCTTTGGGACTGAGCTGGGAATTCACTGTTGTCTTCCTGAGAAGCAGGGTCTCTGAATAGCTGATGCACATATTATTCTCTGAGTCCAGCAAGAATTGTTTCATGCTGGATTAATTTAACAATAGAATGTAACATATCTAATCAAATAAAATAAAAAAACAGGCATTGTTACTTTACATTAAATAGAATAGTAGCTTCAGCTCCTCTATAAGCACTTCCCCCCACCCACAGTTAATATGTTTTTAATCAAGGAATATTAACCCAGATGTAGAGTTCACATTTCATGGAGGAGCTTGTGCTAGCAACTTTTGGAAAAGGACATGTAAGACAGGACATGTGGCAGGGGAGCTGACAAAAGGAGGACATGTACAAGGGAAGATATGAAAGAGGAAATGCACATGTCTCCCAAACCACATGTTGATAGTAAATGAGAGAAGACGACCCTCTGAAAGGTGATAACATACAGGGAACAGGAGAAAATGGGAGTTTATAGTAAAACAAACAAAAAGAACTAGGAAAAGTAAATCACACCTCAGAAGTTGAATAAGATAGAATGCTTGTAAATTGCTCTAACTAGATCTTCTGGAAGGTGAGAAATTTGGCAAGTAAAACTGAATAGAAATCAAGAAATATGGGTGTCACCCTGACTGTGAGTAGGCTCTTATAAATAAGCCACAACGCATTATATTTTATTCCCCAAGCATTGTAACATCCAATCTCCAGAGATATGGGTTGATATTTGTTTTTAAGCTCTCATTGGAGACAGTCATAATTGGATGTGGGTGGAAGAGAGCATCAAAAATGATGAGTAAGGATCCAGAAAGGCAATAAGAAGGTATTTAGAAATAACTGTCCAAAACCTATCTGTAGAAGATTTTCTGACTTTATGGAGATTGTAGACTATGAATGCCAGTGCTTTCCATTGTTCCTGATTTCCTCCTTTGTGACAAACTTTGCCAGTGTTTGGTGGAAGATACACAGGGTTAGACAACTGTGTGCTATAGTGAAGAAGTCAATGGGAGTGTATTGCCTCCATGCTTGATGATGATGATCCATGTCTCTGTGGATCAACAGAGCTAACAGGGAGAAAAGGTGGCCATAAAGTAAAGGAGAACAAGGAAGAACTGTAATTCTGTGGAAAAAACCAGTGCCCACATTTACCTTTTACCAACTTCCATGATGTGGGTGACTAAGAAGTATCCAGTACCCAGAAGTATCCTTTCCCATGTTGCTGACCATGTACCCAGTGCAGGACTTATGAAGCAAAGGAGGAGATCTGGAAATAGCTTTAAGAGCTGCAGTCACAGTTATGGCCCTAAGCCAAGGTGAGTTTCCAGGTCGGTGAAAATGTGCATTGGTTGCAATAGTCATTGGTGTCCTCTTCATAGTATAATGGCTGCTGCTTCACTTCTGTGTTACAATCTCATACAGATTTCTTTTAAGGTGAACCTTATCCCAGTGTGAAATAGAGAAAGGAATTCTGGGAAATGCAATTTCAGATTCAGCTAAGTTGACCTCCCACAAAACTGCCAGAGTCTATCCTTTGCCAACTTGCTATCCATTTACACTTCTCTTAACCATATATATATAACTTCCAAACAAAGACATGAGAAAGTGATGTTTCCACCTAGGAAGATGCAGCTATAACTTCCACAGTTGAAGAGATACTAATCCTCTCTCAAAATGAGAGTGCATAGTCTCATGTGTTACTTTATTCATTTGGGAGCAATCATTTCTCTTGTACTTGAGATCTGCTCTCTCTTTGAAATCATGTAATTTAAATGCTGAGATATAAGGATATTGTAGATTGAATTGTGTTTGCCAAAAAGATGTTTTTGAAGTTTTAATTTCAGACCTTGTAAATGTGATCTTATTTGAAAATAGCATAGTTGCAGATGTAATCAAGGTTTTAAAAGGTCATATTGGATTAGGATGGGAGCTAATACAATTACTGGTATAATTGGACCAATCCC